GTACATGTGAGCTACACATAGATCCAATTGTTAATGATGTGCCTTTGTTTATAATTTTGATGAATGATTCTTGACTAGTGTTTGTATGTTGATAAAAGTACACTCAGGAAATATGTTTACTTCATTACTTTGCCACTTAAATAGTCTTAATTTCTCTGCAGTCATTTTGGTCCCTGCTCACAAGTTTCACGCACAAAGATGTGTTAAACGAGCTGGAACATCTTTCTCACATCCACACTCCTGTGGGAAGATGTCGGGTGAGTCTTCAACCCTTCAAACCTTGATTTCTAATCAATAAAAATTAACTTCTCCTTGTGATTCCAATTGCTAGAAACCTGTGAGGATCATTTCTTTACTTGATTCATCTGCAGACCAAATGGATCTTATTTTTGATCTTTAAAAATTGTGATGGAAAAGATGTTTGTTGATAACTTTTAAAATCTTCCTAATGTTTATACATCTTAGGCATGGATTCGCCTTGCTTTAAATGATAGCTTAATGGAAAGTTACCTTGATGCCATTCTGATGGACAAAAATAAATTACTGTAAGTACTACATGCTAGATGTTTTTGCTTAATTAACCCTTAATACCTTAACATCAGTATGCATATTCTCCATACTGTTCTCTTAAAAAATTTCCTCAGGTTCTGACAAGGAAGATTTTTTTAACAATCAAGAGCCTCTTTAGTTGGTGATCATTTGCTTTCTTCTCAAGACCTCATGACCAATGGTGATACTGTAGGGAGGAATTAGAGGCCAGTCAATCCCAAGGGTTGAAGAGTCCCTTACAAACTGAATTCCCAGTTTTCTGGGAATTCCTACGAGAGGAATTCTCAAAAATTCCCAATTATGCAATTTTAACTAATTAACTATCCCATAAGTGATAAACATGTAACTTCTCCCTATAACATGAGTATACTCAAACTTATCAGATAGATTAGTTTGTAGTCTTGATCTAACACCAAATTCTCGCAATTCACTTACAAGGAAATGTGTAGCAGCTAGAGGGGAGAATAAAAAATCAGATCTTGGGAATTAAGAGTGATTAGCATCTAATTTCTCCTTATAATATCACCCCTGATTCAAACATTAAGGTCTCAAGAATACAAGAAATGATCATCAACTTGAGAAGCCTTTGATTGTAAAACATATTCTCCTTGTCA